TGAAGTTATCTTCTCATCAAAGCACATACTCCGTGAGGCACTGAACTCTAGTTTAGGGAAAAGCGCATAGTAAATTGTTAGCAGGCAGAGACCACACACATGACAGGTTCTTGGTTAGAGGTTCATGACAAACAGGAGAATATGGGGCAGGTGGTTGCTGGGAGGAAGAGGAGATTAATTTCAATTAGGGGACTTTGAAAGCCTTCTTGATGGAGGCAGGTTTGACTGGTTATTGGAATCCAAAGATTATATTCCTCCACAGGGCTCTAGGAGGAAACAGGACTTCAGAGAGTAGGGTATCTTAAAGGTAAGAGGAGTAAAGTCCCTCCTTATAATAAAGCAAGATTCTTCAAATTAAGGAAGAAAATATGTACCAATCATAGAAATTTAAAAATAGTAAGTGCTCAATAAATTTTACTTGTTATTTTCCCCAAGTGCCAGACACAATAACAAGAAGTTCACATGAGTTGTTTATCTCATAACAATTCTATGAATTAGGTGCAAACTGCTATCATACCCATTTTACAGATTGAGTTTTATAAAGTTTAAGTAACTTGCCAAAGATTACAGGGCTAATAAGTGGAGGAACAAGGTCAAATCTATGGAGATTTGATCCCAAAACCTATGTTCCTATGTACAACACTAAATTTTAGAGAGTGTACAATATTATTAATAATTCCACCAGCAAGAGACCACTGCTATGCATAAGATCCTGAGTTCCCTCTAGTCTTTTATTGTGCTTGCTTTAAACATAAAGTCATGGAATAGATAGCATATTTTACTTTTTTACTTAACACGTTTAAATGCTTATGACAAACATTTTCCACCGTCTTAGTCCAGGTCTTCCAAGAAGGAGGTGCAAAGACAGGATTAAATATATGACAGTTTTTTTAAGGGAGATTGAAATTCTATGAAGGGAGATTCATGTGGGAGAAAATGGGGAGGAAGCTGAGGACAGGGGCAAGGGCTGTCAGACTGGGATGTGAGCCTGGTTCTGAGGGAGGGAGAAAGGGAAGGGGAGTCGGGAAGAAGCATCCTAGATCTCCATGCAGTCAAAGGGAAGTTCAATAAGGCTGTCAGGAAATCCTTGAGCCAAAATCAGCCATCGGAGTAGTCCTGTGTCTCCCAAGAATGGGTGCTCTCACTCTCTGGCTGGGAGCAGCCCCTGGAAAGCATCATTGTGGGACAAAAATGGCAGTAGATTTCAGAATGCAGTCGCTGAGGCCCAGGGCCAATTAAATTCTTGGTCTGTGAGGTCTATGAGGTACATTCTCATGGTCACTACCCCATGGCAATGAAAATATTAGTATCATATCAAATGGCTGTGTGTGTGTGTCTTGGTTATAAAGAATACTACAGTAAACATCTTTTTAATATATTTTATGTATAGTGTTAATGGATCAAATAATGGTTTTTTTAAAAACATCTTGATGAACTTTGTCAAATTGCTTTCAGATAAGGCTCTGATATTGCTGGACTGTGCGATTTGGGGAGACATGGGGATTATGGATGAATGGTTGGTCTGAGGCCAAAGGCTGAAGGGTTTTGAATATCAGGTTGAGGTCTTTCAAATTTATTTTGTTTTATTGAAGAGCGTAGGCTGGAATGAAATTGAATTGATAATTTAACCCCTTTCCAATGCAGGCATGATATGGGCTGAATGTAAAGAAATTTGGACTCAAGGCCCCAAGGAATATTTGTTTGAGTTGTGGAATATGCTTGACTTTGGTATGTTAGCGATCTTTGCAGCATCATTCATTGCAAGATTCATGGCATTTTGGCACGCTTCCAAAGCTCAGAGCATCATTGATGCAAATGATACTTTGAAAGACTTAACAAAAGTCACATTGGGAGACAATGTGAAATACTACAATTTGGGTGAGTTTACAGTAAACAGTCAATATATGTTAATAAAAATGTAAAATTTTCTTCTAAAAGTACATGGCATAGTAGTTCGGTTATTACCCATTCTCATTGAATTATTGGTTAGTTTCCAGCTTCTCCAGAGTATCCAAATCTGAAGAAGCATGTGTTTTGCCTCTTCCTTCTATTTTTCTTCTGGTTGGAAACATCTCTTAGTCACAGGAATGATCTCACTGATCTCTTGGATCAGTTGGCTAACTATCAGACTCCATTGAGAATGCTTGCCTTGTGTCTTAGATTTATTTTCCCCTTGTCTCTATTAAACACACTACTTGTTTTTTCATGTCCGGTCTGTTTGTTTTTGTTTTGTTTTCAGATTCCACATACAAGGGACATCATACAGTGTTTTTGTCCTTCTCTGTCTCACTTAGCATAATGTCCTCAAGGTCCATCCATGTTTCACATATGACAGGATTTCCTTCTTTCTCATGATTGAATAATATTTCATTGTGTGTATATCACATCTTCTTTTATTCATTCATCCATTGGTGGCACTTTGGTTGTCTCCATATCTTGGCTGTCGCGAACAATGCTATAATAAACAATGGGAGCTTATAAAAAAACAAACAAAACCCCCCCCGTATACATTTGAGTACCATTTCCACTTAAGACATATAGATTATTGAAAGCAAGGGAATTGTGGGAATCTCTGAAATGGCCCTCAATAAATGACACTACTGTTTCCCACCCAAGCTTTGAACTAGTTGAGAAATAAAACAAAAAGTTAATATGGAGGTCAGATCATCACCTCTACTACTGATAAAGTTCAGGGTAGAAGATATAGTTTTGAGTCCTTAATCCATGGGCTCAGCAATATTGAACCCCCAGAATTAGGCAAACATACCTTCAAATTTCCAAACAATAATGGTCAGGACAGTCCTCCCCTAAGAGGGGTATGACAGCATGTGCCTGACCATGTGAGCGTCCTCCATGGGGGGTCAGAGGAGAATTCACAGGAAAAGGAGGACAGAGCTGAGCCAGGTATGCTCAGTTATCCATCCCAAGTCAAGAGTCTGATAAGTCATTCCACCTCCCCAGGGGAAAGTGACTCAGGATGGGAACAGGTTCAGTTATTTGCCTAGGGAAAATCCCTTCTTGTAGAAACATGGAGTGGGAAACATAGACTTCCTCTGTATACTTATTTTAAACCCTCTGATAAGAAATCAGTGAACATGTTCATTGATATCTCTACCAGTTATTGGCTATATCACATAAGGATTTATTTTTTTATTATTAACTTGCAGTATTTCTTTTGCCATTTAACTAAGGTTTTTAATATACAGAATTTTATAAAGTTAAAGCGATCTATCTGTTTATATGTAGTACTTATATTCAAAGCACTGTGTATATGTTCTCAAAAAGGAAACGAATCCACTTCTCAGCAAGTAAACAAAGACACATTTATAATAATATTTTTCCTTTTTATTACACATTGTTTTTGCATTTTTCTTATGATGCTTTCTTAATTGGGTTTTTGATGACCTAACATAGTAATATATATAATTATATCAGGTCATAAAAATTAATAAATGCATACTTGCTCATTTTTATGATGAAAATAGACTTGAGTGACCCATAAAATTACTTTAGTAAATTTAAATAACTAAAAGTAGTCCACAAGCCCCAAAACACATAATAGTGTTATTATAGTTTAAGATTAAATAATAAATGCTACCATTTATTTAATGTCAGCTACTTTCTAAACATGGAATGTGTATGTTTTTGTATTGAATTCTCACAACAGATGAGAGGGATAGAAGTGGTATTATCTCATTTTGATGG